CCCACTGCGAAGAGCTGTCAACGTGTGCTCAATCGGCCCCGGAATCGGCTCGCAATTACCGAGATATCCACGCTGGATAAGGTCCCATCGAGAGCTCCCCGCGTACGTATGCACTAACGTTTCCAAGTTCCTTTCCAATCTCCTGTCAGTGTTAATAATATCGTCTGGTGTAAAACTAGAGACTATTGCAATAAGACACTCGTCTGCAGATTGCCTAAAAGCCTGGCATTCTTCATCATTCTCCATGTCAGGAAGGATCGGTAAAGAATACTGTTGCGCCAAGGCTTTCAACTCTGCAACAAAGTGGGATGTAAACATCACGAATAGTGGACAGTGCAAGTGATCTTCGCTGTTCCTATACGCCGTCGATACGTTAGGTCGAGGAGTATTTTTCATTTTCTGCTGGTGGGTAAGCGCCAGCATACGTTGTCGAAGATGGAAGCGATGACTTACAGGCAGCCACTTGAGACGGATGAAGAATCTCTCCATAGCAACGGACTGTTGATGTTTCAAGTAGTTGAATTGGAGCAGCAAGTTCACATCCTGGACGTGTACAAAGTCAATAGCGTTAGCAGAAAATCTGTCCTGTCCATGCTCGAGTCGATGATAGCTCTCTAGCGCAAGGGCACGCAGCCTCAAGAGACTTGGAGAGAGTATCGACTCCGATCTTTTCACTGCGCAATGAGCAGTAGTTGCCACTTGCACGTTCAGTAGTGACAGCTTCGAAACGAGAGTCTGTAGCCATGTTGGATGCTTTGTCGACTGTGATACGCTCTCAAAAGCATCGACCTTGTTGTCCTGACGTTGATATCCATACTGTTCGCCTACCTCTTTCCATTGTTGGTCTCGTCGATCGGGTAGCTCGCGTAGTAGAACGAGACCGTCTTGAGTTTTCAATAGTAAATCTTCCAGGTCTTTTCCACTTGAACTACATGTAGTCGATTCCTGCTTGATCTTCATCGCGTATTGGAGAAACGATTTCCATTCCAACGAGAAATTCTGTCAGGGGTACAAAATTGTACAAGTTCAACGACTCTATAAAGTAATTTAATGTTTGTAATATGCTCGTTACCTGAGCTGTGCGCTGCAGTCGCTCATTTGCCTCCACCAGTTCGGCCTGTCTTCGAGATATGGCAGTCGGTTCTAGAGTAGCATCGTCCAGATTGTCGGACTGATCTTTGCGAATATGCTGTCGCTGCTTCTCTCGTATTTCCATCCTACACAAGCACCGAATTTGCAGGTGTGTGTTGACATGGACACAGGATAATGGAGAAGAAACGGTTTTGCTGCAAGAATAGCAGTGCCAGTTAAAAAGAATAAATAAAGAGATCATGTAGTAGACTATTAAATGCGCCACGTGAGCACGATTGCTGAAGCAGAGTCGCTCTTTTTGACATCGTCAGGAGCCTCTGGTGGGATTCTCGATATCCAGGAGGCGCAGCAGATGCTCGATCGGCTAGAATTCTCGAAGCTCCACGCAATTGGACGCTATAATATGAATTGCTATACTTTATAAAAATAATGCAAATCTTCGATTTCACTCACAAAAAATAATACATGGTCAAAGCTTCCAAAGCTTAATGCTTGGGTATACAATTCGTACATGTAGGGAAATGCCCGCCAAAAGCATCCAGCATGTGGTCTTTTTTATCGTTGGATCGCCGCTCTTTAACGATGCAGCAGCGTTGCAAAAGTGCTGTAACGGGGCGATAGTACGGCAGGATCACATCTGCGGCATCACATTCACTTGCAAATTTGCAGCACCGTCGTCAGACCAAGCACCAGTCAGATCCCTGCGCCATGGCATCTCGCAGCACTCCTCCACTGAGCACTCTTCTCTATGTACGCGACAAGGCAGCAGAGCCCAAGAGAACGATGAAGGCCACCGTCGGTGGTACAATGAGCTCTCGCGATTCCTTCGAGGCGAAACTCGTGCGCACGATACATGAAGTCTTTGCCGCCAAGGAAGAGAGCCAACGACTGCCTACTGGATCTCGTAACGAA